GCATCTCCTGCCCCTCTGGAGCATCCACAGCACTCGGGCACCCCTCGAGCAACACACAAGGTTGGTGCCTGCAGGGCAAGCCAGGATGTTTGCACCAGCAGAGGTGGCAGTGCTGATGCTCTTCATCCCCTGAAGATGCTTCTGGGGCTAAAGAGGCCTCGGGGTGCCTGTCCCACCCCCCCTCCCACCTTACCTGGTCCTTCTTCTGGGAGAAGCGCTGGTGGCAGCAGCCGTAGACGGCCGCGATGAACAGCAGGGAGCCAGCCAGGGTGATGATGGTGATGATCAGGGGGGTGCTGAACTCGTCGTTGATTACCATCTCCCTCTCCATTTTGTCATAGGTGATGTTGGCGATGCCCAGCTGCCCACGAAGGGGAGGGGCCGGGCCCCCGTTTTTTGGTCAGGCCCCCAGGAGGGCTACCTGTGCCACCCACCTTGGGGGACAGCCGCAGGGAAGCGGCAGTGTGCCCAGGGACCTGCTTACCTCCTCCAACTTGTCCTTCTCCTTCAGCTCCTTGAGGACTTTTTCAGGGTCCAAGGGGACTGGAGGAAGAAAGAGGCTGCCATGAGGACAAGGAGGGGGGCCAGGTTGTGCCACCGCCTCTTGGTCAGTGGGGTGACCCCCTTTTGGAGGAGGTGGATGGAGATGTGTGGACATGAAGCAGGTGCCTCCACAGCCAGACAAGGAGTTGGGACCACTTCTCCTGCAAGGGGGACAGCCCCCGTGACCCCAGTCCCCCAGCCCCAGGTTGTGGGGTGTCCCTGCTTCAGTGGGTGAGACCAGTGACGGGCTGTAACTGGCTACTCCAAGCCATGCCAGAGTGGTGCAGGATTAGTCCCCTGCCCATGGTTAGGGGCTGGACCACCTCACCCAGCCCCTGCTCCGCTGACAGGGAGGATAGAGCTTAGGCCTTCTTCCCCCTTGTGCCAAGGCAGCGTGATGTCTCCATCTTCCCAGCATCCTGGGGCACGTTTGGGCACCCCAGGCTGAGCTGGATTTCCCCAAAGGGCTCTGATGTGGGCAACAACCTCCCCTTTTTGGTCTCTTGGGGAGGGATTTGAGCTGGGCGCTGGGTTTTAACCACCTGGGAGGAATTTTTCCTCTTGGAGACTGGTCCCTGCCTTGACTTACCATGGATAGTGCCTTAAGGAGCCCCTCGGTCCAGCTTCAGCAGACCATGAGGGTTCCGCCAAGCCTCGGGCTCCATCCCCATGCCAGGTTCCCTGATGCCAACCCCATCCCGTCCCCCTCGGGGCAGGATGGTGGGATCGTACTCACGGTGCACGAGCGCCTGCACAGCCCAGTGCTGGGAGCGGGGCTCCTGGGAGGTCAGCATCACCGTGCACGTCTCCCTGCTGGCGTTGAACGCGTGCTGGCCCGTTGAGCAGAAGCTCTTGAAGAAGGAGATGTTGGCGCTGGCCATCCTCCACTCAGCCTGCGGTGACAGCAAGGGCTCAGTGCTGTTGACCCCCCCTCAAGGACTGCCAAGGAGCATCCCTCCCTGTCCCCAGGGATGCTGTGGCCATCCCCATCCTCCGCCATCCCCATCCTCCACCATCCCCATCCTCCCCCATCCCTCTGTGCTGCCCACCCGCTGCCGGCCCTCCCAGGGAACAGGAAAAGTTTAAAAGTAGTAACTTTACTAGAAGCTGAGCTCTTGGCTGCTGTTCTGCACCACGGCCCTGCGACAGCCTTATCTGAGCGCCGCAGCTTTTGGTGTTACAGGAATAGCAGGTCCCCAAGGGAAGCAGGGTGGGGGGACAGGGGAGGCCAAGGAGCTGTAGCAGGAGCAGGATGGGGCTGTGCAGCCCCCCTTGTGTCCCCAAAGCCATAGGTGGCCCTCCCAGCACCTGCATTTCTACCTTCTGTCCCTACCAACACAGATCCCTGTTTTCCCTAGTGCTTCCCCACGCCTCTGTCGCTCTGCAGAGGCAAGAGAAAGCGTTTTGCTTTGGGATAGCCTGGAACACCCCGGAGGGGTTAGCCTGGACAGTGTCAGAGGGATGGTAGAGGGGAGGATGGAGCCAACATCTCCTCTTTTTTTTGCATCCGCTCAGTGCTTCGTAGCATCTGAGAGCTGACGAAGGTAGAGACAATCAGCTGCCTGCATGCGCCGGTCCTGCGTGCACAGACCTTGCCTGCACTGGTCCTGCGTGCAGAGGCGCTGTACCTACAGCTGCATGCGCCGGTCCTGCGTGCAGAGGCGCTGTACCTACAGCTGCATGCGCCGGTCCTGCGTGCAGAGGCGCTGTACCTACAGCTGCATGCGCCGGTCCTGCGTGCAGAGGCGCTGTACCTACAGCTGCATGCGCCGGTCCTGCGTGCAGAGATGCTGTCCCTACAGCTGCATGCACAGACCTTGCCTGTACCGGTCCTGCGTGCAGAGGTGCTGTACCTACAGCTGCATGCACTGGTCCTGCGTGCAGAGATGCTGTACCTACAGCTGCATGCACAGATCCTGCATGCACAGACCTTGCCTGCACTGGTCCTGCATGCAGAGATGCTGTACCTACAGCTGCATGCACTGGTCCTGCGTGCGGAGATGCTGTACCTACAGCTGCATGCACTGGTCCTGCGTGCAGAGATGCTGTACCTACAGCTGCATGCACGGGTCCTGCGTGCACAGACCTTGGTGCATGGATGCTGTGTGCACAAGGTCTTGCCTGCACAGCCCCTGTGTGCAGAATCCCTCAAACGAGGGGCCAGGCAGCACGTGCCTTGGCTGGGATGGACTCTGCTCCTGCTTGCTCCAACACCCCAAACCTTCCCCTCCCTCCGGAACACCGTCCGTGCCAGGTCCCGCTCACAGTGATGGCCGGCATCGTCCCGCTTGCTCCTCTGCAAGGACGGGAGCCGCCCGGCTGAGGAAGGCACCTAATCTCACCCCATCTTATCTAAATATTTGGGAAGTGGCGATGGAGACAGGATGCACTTGCTGGGGCGGAAGACCGGTCCTGGGCAGAGCACGAGGGTGAGCTCAGCACCATGAGGCCCCATTGTTCCTGGGAACCTCGCTAGCCCTCGCCTGTCCTTCCACGTTGCGTGGGGAGAGTCCCCCAGCTCGTGTGTCCGCACCACCCCAGCTGCATCCCTGGGCAAAGAGCGGGATGGGAAGCGTGCCCCGTTGCCGTGCCAGGGCAGCAAAGCAAGACCTCGGACAAGGCAGCATCCCCCAGAAAGCTGGAATCCAGTGGGACTGGGAGGAGAGGGATATGGCTTGGTCGGCACGGTGGTTTTATCATCTTTGGTCGCTGGGTTGTGCTCCTACGCTTTACACATCAGGCGGTTTATCGGTCCCTGCCTGTGCAGCGTTTTCTGCTCGGCAGAAACATTAGGGCAGAAGCACGAAAAGCCTCTCTGCTGCCTCCCTGCATCCACCTTCCCCAGGTTTTGCCGCAGCTCTGCCTTCCCCTAGCTCTTGGAAATCTAGTTTTACCAGCCTATGGGGAGGGGTGGGGGAAATCAGACCTTTAAAATGCCTTTTTTGGGGTGGGAAGGGAGATCAGATGTGAGGCTAAAAGCCAGCTGAGCACCAAACCGCTTTGTTGTCGTACGGTGAGAGGTGCCTAAACCCCGTTAGAGGCAGATCCAGAGGGATTTACCCTTTGCAGGGTGGGAGGGGGGCACTGTAAGGCCCCTGCAGCGGGCAGGGATGCCCCGGCAGCGGTGCCATGGCCCTGGCAGCTCTCCCCTCCCGCCGTCGCATTCCTTGGCTGGAGTTGACAGGCGCTGCCGAGCAGCTCAAATCCGGTTCCCACACTTGGCGGGGACCTAAAACCAACATCCCGGAATGAGGTAACAGCACTTGAGTCAACAAACCACCCCGCCAGCTGGACGGGGCAAGGGGGACCGTGACCCTGCTCGGTGAAGGAGTCCCTCCGGCTGCTCCGGGGACCATCCTGATGTCCCCAGACCCGTGGGTGTAACACCGCAAATTCTTTGAGGCATCTGGGTGTGGGTCCAGGTGGTCCATCTGTTGCTTTTGCAACCCCTGGCTGGAGCAGGCTGTGGTCCTCTCCAGCATCATCCGACTTGCCTCGCTGGGCACATCCGTGTCCCAGCTGGGGACATGACGGAGGAGCCATGCTGGACCCCTGAGAGGTGGCCACAGGGTTGTGTGGCTGAACCAGAGCTTGGGGGACCCCAACCACCTCTGACAGGGTCACCTCTAGCCTCCCCCAAGGCGTTTTGGGGATGGGATGTTGAACAGAGCAGATATCCCTCCCTCCATCCATCCCAAGGCTGGAGCACCCCACGCAGCCAAGGAAAACCCAGCTGAAGATATATTTGTGAGCTGGACCTTGGGAAAGTCATCCTATGTAACACAAGGCATCGAGCTAATGAGCCTCATTAGGAAACTCATTAAGATCCTGCTGTAAGGAAGGAAAAGGGGCAAAAGGGAGGGAACATGGACCAGACTTCAGCATCACTTGAAGAGGAGGGATGGGGGAAACCAACCAGCTCATAAAGTATCTTTGGTCCACAAAGCGGTACCAACCACCTATTTGGCTCTTTTTTTTTTTTTCCAAAATTTACAGATTGAGGGTTTTTTTTAACTATTTTTAAATTTCCTGCAGCAGGAGAAACTGAGATGCAGCCAGGTGCAATGCCCACCGTTCCCAGGTTCGGTCCCAACTGTTCTGTTCGTGTCTCTGCATCACCAGTGCTGCCCCATGAGCCCGTCTCTGCATGATGGGGGGTGGGGCGGTCTGCATTACCCTCTCCCCAACCTGGGCACATCCCCTGCTGCTGGGCCCCCGCATCACCCTCGATGCCTCCCCGGCTCCTCTCCGGAGCTGAGCTTTTAGCACAGTGCCGCTGCAGCTCTGGCTCGTTCTTGCGGACCAGGATCAGAGCTGTTTCTGGAACATTTCTCCTCATAGCACGCATTTTCCTGTTTTCCCACGGCTTGCAAAATGCAAAGGATTTTTTCACTTCGCTGTCAAGATTTGGCTAGAGACTTGTTTACCGGGCCTACAAAGCAGGGAAACCAGATAGTGCCATTTCTCTGTTATCTGCTCAGCTTGGGAGGCGTAAAACTTGTTGCAGTGTTCAGGAATACACCGAGTGGAAAGTTAACGGCAAGCGGGTGGGAGGTGTTTTGGCAGCCGAGGAGAGGGATGCTATGGTAGGATGCACCCTTGCAGTCCTTCCGCAGATATTTAGAGGTGTAATTGGCATTTCGTACTAACAATGCTTCGGCTCCTTATGATGCCCAGAGGAATCTAAGGGAAACAGGGCGGCAGACTCGCCAGCTCGCCAGCTCCCGCGCATCATCGCCGAGAGGAGCGCTGGGTGATGCCAAGATGTGACGTCTCTTAGCTCATCGGCACATCACACCAGCGCTTCTCAGCCTTACCGTCCCCGTTTCCAAAAACCTTCCTGGCACAGCTCCAGCAAAGCCAGGGAGAGGACCGGGCCTCCGTGCACAGCATGACTGCACCCGGAAGGAGGAGGGAAGCGTTAAAACACCAGCACAGTCATAAATCACCTGGATGCTTTAGGATCCAAAATCAGATTTTGTCAATCCGATGAAATATTTTTACATATTCAATATAAAATTTGATAGGAAGCTTTCCTAGCGGGGACACGGCTGCAGATTCGGACATTCCAGTACCTGAAGGGGCCTACAAGGGTGCTGGGAGAGGACTTTTTACAAGAGTCTGTAGTGATAGGACAAGGGGTAATGGGTACATATTGAAAACGGGGAGGTTTAGATTAGATATCAGGAAGAAATTCTTCACAGAGAGGGTGGTGAAGCACTGGGACAGGTTGCCCAGAGATGTTGTGGATACCCCATCCCTGGATGTCTTCAAGGCCAGGCTGGATGTGGCTCTGAGCACCCTGGTCTAGTGCAAGGTGTCCCTGCCCATGGCAGGGGGGGTGGAACTAGATGATCTTTAAGGTCCCTTCCAACCCAAACCGTTCTGTGATTCTATGATTCTATGATTCTGTGATTGCACGAAGCAGGGCAGGGGATGTCCTGCTGTGGTGTCAGGACCATGGGCATCATGGTAATAAGGAATAAGGTCCCTCCTTGGAGTCATCCTCAGCATTAAGGCTAAGAACATCGCTAAGAACATCATTTCTGCAGGTGCCTGGGCAAGGAGCATTTTCAGAGGAGGAGGTGATGAGCATGAGGTGACAGCAGCTCTTCCAGGAGCACGATGGGTGTTATCGCCTGGTCCAGGCCCTCTCTAGGGCTGCCAGGCAGGGCCATCACTAAGCCACAGGGAATTTCAAGAGCCTCTGTGGTCAGTAGGAGCTATCGTGTTTGTCTCAGCATGTATCTCAAGGGATTTTGTGAACACAGTGAGGCTTCATTTTGCATCTCACCAACATCTGGTGAAGTCAAGAGTCAGTCCATTTTGGAATCATAGAATCATTTGGGTTGGAAGGGATCTTAAAGACCATCTAGTTCCAACCCCCCTGCCATGGGCAGGGACACCTTCCACTAGACCAGGTTGCTCCAAGCCTCATCCAGCCTGGCCTTGGACACTCCCAGGGATGGGGCATCCACAGCTTCTCTGGGCAACCTGTCCCAGTGCCTCACCACCCTCTCTGGGAAGAATTTCTTCCTGATATCTAATCTAAACCTCCCCTCTTTCAATTTAACCCCGTTCCCCCTTGTCCTGTCACTACAGGCCCTTGTAAAAAGTCCCCCCCAGCTTCCTTGTAGCCCCTTCAGGCACTGGAAGGTGCAATAAGGTCTCCCCGGAGCCTTCTCTTCTCCAGGCTGAACAACCGCAACTCTCTCAGCCTGTCCCCATAGCAGAGGTGCTCCAGCCCTCGGAGCATCTTCATGGCCCCATTTTACAAAAGGGACAGCAGATGTTCATGATCCTGAGCAGCTATTTCTCGTGCTCTGCAGCATAAACTGTGAGAAGGTCCCGGAAGTGCCAATTTCCCAATGATTACACTGCCTGGGCAGTGCTGAGATCTGGAAACCAGACCACTGTAACCCCCAAACCCACCCCTGAGCCCTGACCACTGCTCAGATAGATACCATCACTCTGTCAAGATCTCCCCAGCCATGTGCTGTTGTCTATTCCCCTTTGTCATAAACTTAGCCTATTTAAAAGTTATCAATATATTGCATCTTCCCTACAGCAGGAAACTCCTTGTTTTTCCATGAATCATTTTGAAGGTGGGTATCCCTCAGAAAAGCCAGCAGACAGTACCCACCCACCAGAAGAAGGGGCCTTAGTACAGAGTTTTGGGTTGGAATTGCCTTTCCCCAACCTTGCCACTACACTTTACTACTCCCTGGTCTTGTAGGGAATCTGAAACAAATGAAATGGACTTTTTTGCTCTCACTTTAGGGTTCTGTGGGAGCTGATAAAGCATCAAAGAGCACAGTGAGTCCAAAACTCCAGTTGCTCTGCAGTCGGATGCTGCCCTACCCCAGCTGTGAGGTTGCAAGATCTCACCACGTACACAAGTGTGAAGGAGCTCCACATTTTTCACTTGGGTTTTGGGATGAACTTCTGGCCCCTCTGCAAATGCAAAAAGCTCTCCTGTTAGCCTTTGCAGAGGGAAGGTTTCACCCTCTAAAATTTCCTATTCCTCTTTTTCTGAGACCTGGAAGGGCTCAGCTGGTCCTTCTACTTAAAGGAGACCACATGGGCCTCCTGCCATATCCCCCACCAGGTGATACTGCTGAGTATGGGCTTGCATGTACCGTTTGACACCCCAAAAGTGGCTGCATCTTATTTTGATGAAAGGACTCTCATCTCTGTAGGCTCACACGCTCGGAGTAACACAGGTTAAAAGCTGATCTCCAACAGCAACACAGCTGCTAATTCTACACAGAAGTCCAAAAGGCTGGTACTTACACAGGTTTTAGCTTCTTTCAGATATATGGTGGGCCAGTTATTTTGCACCTGGTCTTTACAGATCACCTGGAAAGACAGCAAAGCAACTCTGAAATGATTGACATAGGTTGGAGGGACAGTTGGTCACTGATACAACCGACTGCCCCAAGCCAAGAGACATCCCAACCAAAGGTCTGTTCCATTCGATAGAAATGAGACAGGCCCAGGAGCCCTTCATATGTGGAATGGGTTTTCACAGGTAACTGACACCGTTGTCTGCGGGATGTTTGCTAATGCACGTCCCAAACCAGGCTTAGGGTTTGCAGGACGGAGTAAAGCAGGAATCAGCTCAGGCAGCAGGAAGATCCACGCCAGTGGGCCATCATGAAGTCCTGCTCTACACACGATGAACATCTAGAAACAGGACCCCCTTCCCTCCTTCCCAGCACTTTAGTTGTCCTGGCTTGTGTTTGGAGACCCCCCGCTATGCTCCCCAACAATTTCCTACTAATATCATCCATGAATGGTTGATGCTGCATTGTGCTCTTTGTCCTCTCATCATGTCCAAGTCCACCCCAAGACAGCTTCTGCTCTCCATAATGATTCCCTCTCTCTTCCCAAATTTCACCTCTTCCCTGTTCATCAACCAGACCATAATCCCCTTCAC